AAGATTTTAGGATTGGACACATGTGCTGAGACATTGGTTGGTGATGAGATGATCAAAGGAATCTCAGGAGGACAAAAGAAACGGCTCACAACAGGTGTGTGTGTGTTCTCATTCTTTTATGTACCATTCGATATATATAACTAATTGAGTGGATTTTGAAATGACAGGGGAACTGTTAGTAGGACCAGCAAGAGTACTTTTCATGGATGAAATATCAAATGGTTTAGATAGTTCAACGACTCATCAGATAATAATGTATATGAGGCATTCAACACATGCGCTTGAAGGAACCACTGTCATCTCTTTACTTCAACCTTCTCCCGAGACATACGAGTTGTTCGATGATGTTATCCTTATGTCCGAGGGACAGATTATCTACCAGGGTCCTCGTGACGAGGTTCTTGACTTCTTTTCTTCCTTGGGATTTACCTGCCCTGAGAGGAAGAATGTGGCAGATTTCTTGCAAGAGGTAAATGTTTAAAGAATTTGAATTCTTTTTTTTTTCTAATAGAATTCTAAGGAAATGAGCTTCTGTTAATAAGGTGACTTCGAAGAAAGACCAGCAGCAGTACTGGTCAGTCCCTTTTAGGCCTTATCGCTACGTACCTCCTGGGAAGTTTGCTGAAGCTTTTCGTTCTTTTCCAACCGGTAAGAAGTTGGCAAAGAAACTCGATGTTCCATTTGATAAACGTTTCAACCATTCAGCCGCCTTGTCTACATCCCAATACGGTGTTAAGAGGAGTGAACTTCTCAAGATCAACTTCTCTTGGCAAAAGCAACTCATGAAGCAGAATGCATTTATTTATGTGTTCAAGTTCGTTCAGGTTCGGCTCCATAATTATTTTGTGTCTTCAGTTATTAGTTAATAAACTAAATTTACCTTTTTATTTTAACTCATTATCTCCTATGTTTTGCAGCTTCTTTTAGTTGCACTGATCACAATGACTGTGTTTTGCCGGACAACAATGCATCACAACACTATTGATGATGGCAACATATATCTTGGGTCGCTTTACTTCTCAATGGTCATCATCCTCTTTAACGGATTTACAGAGGTTCCAATGTTAGTAGCCAAGCTCCCGGTTCTGTATAAGCACCGAGACTTGCATTTTTACCCCAGCTGGGCTTATACATTACCTTCCTGGCTTTTGAGTGTTCCTACTTCAATAATAGAGTCTGCCACATGGGTAGCAGTCACATATTATACAATCGGATACGATCCACACTTCTCAAGGTACACATACATTTTTTCATATAAGAATTTTAATTGCATAAAAAGAGAGTTAATGTGTGAAGAACTTTTGTTGGATCTTTCAGGTTTCTTCAGCAGTTTTTGCTGTATTTCCTTCTGCATCAGATGTCGTTGAGTCTTTTCCGTGTGATGGGTTCTTTAGGCCGACATATGATAGTTGCTAATACGTTTGGGTCTTTTGCAATGCTGGTGGTCATGACTCTTGGAGGGTTTATCATTTCCAGAGGTCTTCTTTCTTGGAGTCCTTAAACTTTCTCCTTTTGGCACAATGAATAGTATATTCATTTCTCTTGTTTGATTTTCTCAGATAGCATACCTACCTGGTGGATTTGGGGTTACTGGATCTCTCCATTGATGTATGCTCAAAACGCAGCTTCTGTGAACGAGTTCCTTAGTCCTTCTTGGCAAAAGGTGGAAAAAATATTACCAAAATGTTTACTACACCCATTAGTAAAATCTTGTATTTACTAATTTTTTTTTTCTGTCTTGAAGAGTGCTGGGAATCACACCAGCGACTCTCTTGGTGTGGCATTGCTACGAGAAAGAAGTTTGTTCTCTGAGAACTATTGGTATTGGATTGGTGTTGGTGCTTTGCTCGGATACACCATTCTTTTCAATTTGCTCTTTACGATCTTCTTAGCTTACCTCAACCGTAATAAGCCTTCTCCTTCTTTTTCTTTCTACTTAAAAGCATCAACATTTTGCTAATCTTGGTCATATAATATTTATAGCTTTGGGTAAGCTACAAGCTGTTGTATCCAGACAAGAGTTGGACGAGAGAGAGAAGAAAAGAAAAGGCGATGAGTTTGTTGTGGAACTAAGAGAGTACTTACAACATTCAGGCTCACTACATGGTGAGTGAACAAAAATGTTATGAACTCAAAGAAAACCTAATGCTTATTATAGTTATTTTTTCGGTCCAACAGGAAAATATTTCAAGAATAGAGGCATGGTTCTCCCGTTTCAACCGCTCTCTTTGTCTTTCAGCAATATCAATTACTATGTGGATGTTCCATTGGTATGTAACAAACATGTTTCTAACAGTGTTTCAGACTTAAAATGCATTTCTTTTTAATTTCCTTGCTCATGCTTTTTTAGGGACTAAAAGAACAAGGGATACTAGAAGATAGATTGCAGCTACTTGTGAATATTACTGGAGCTTTTAAACCAGGTGTGCTTACAGCGTTGGTGGGAGTAAGCGGTGCTGGTAAAACAACGCTCATGGATGTTTTAGCTGGAAGAAAAACCGGTGGGACAATCGAAGGAGATGTGTACATATCTGGTTTCCCAAAAAGGCAAGAAACTTTTGCAAGAATCTCAGGCTATTGTGAGCAGAACGATGTTCATTCTCCATGCCTTACTGTTGTTGAGTCTCTACTTTTCTCCGCATGCCTTCGTTTACCATCAGATATTGACTCAGAGACACAGAGGGTAAACTAAACAATGTTTTCACATTATCATATGTTTGTCTCAGATTATGCTGACTGACATATCTCAACTTTGTAGGCGTTTGTCCATGAGGTGATGGAGCTAGTGGAGCTAAGCTCCTTGAGTGGAGCATTGGTGGGTCTACCTGGAGTTGATGGCTTATCAACTGAACAGAGGAAAAGGTTGACTATTGCGGTTGAGCTAGTTGCAAACCCATCTATAGTGTTCATGGATGAGCCAACTTCAGGATTGGATGCAAGAGCTGCTGCTATTGTGATGAGGACTGTAAGGAATATTGTTAACACTGGACGTACCATCGTCTGCACCATTCATCAGCCTAGCATTGATATTTTCGAATCATTCGACGAGGTTTGGTTTTGCTGAATCAAAACATTATGCATTATAGTCATCATCCTTAAAGATTCATTGTTTTATGCAGCTTTTGTTCATGAAACGTGGTGGTGAACTCATATATGCCGGTCCACTTGGCCAGAGGTCTTGTGACCTTATCAAGTACTTCGAGGTAAGCCTTAGTTTCTGCTACTCTCTGAACTAAGAGATACATGTAGATCTTCAAAGTCTTGATATGTTTTTTTTTTTTTGCATTTAGTGTATTGAAGGGGTGCAAAAGATAAAAGCCGGACATAATCCAGCAGCATGGATGCTTGATGTCACCTCATCGACCGAAGAAGAACGACTTGGTCTTGATTTTGCTGAAATTTACAAAAACTCAAATCTATGTCGGTATGTGACTGACTCCTCCTCCTTCATTAACTTATAGCTTTTCAGAGGTTTGGTTTACTTTACCACATTTTTCCATGTCTATGTGTTCAAATATAGACGCAACAAGGAGCTGGTCGAAGGCCTCAGCAAACCAAGTAATATCTCAAAAGAACTCGAGTTTCCGACCAGATACTCTCAGTCTTTCTACAGTCAGTTTGTTGCTTGCCTGTGGAAACAAAACCTGTCATATTGGCGAAACCCGCAGTACACTGCGGTTCGGTTCTTTTACACTGTGGTCATCTCTCTAATGCTTGGAACAATATGTTGGAAATTCGGCTCCAAGAGGTTAATTTAGTTAGTACTATCTCCATATCCACTTGTATGCGTCTAAAGCACAACTTGTTTAAACCATTCATTCATTTTCAGGGACACTCAACAAGAGTTATTCAATTCAATGGGATCTATGTACGCTGCGGTTCTCTTCATTGGAATCACTAACGCAACTGCTGCACAGCCTGTTGTTTCCATTGAAAGATTTGTTTCTTACCGTGAGAGAGCAGCTGGAATGTACTCTGCACTTCCCTTTGCATTTGCACAGGTCTTTAAAAAACAAAAACATCTGTTTGTTTATTTATTTATTTATTTATCTTTCCCCCCTAATTTTTTTAAAAGATTGGTATGTTTATTTTTGACAGGTGTTTATAGAGTTTCCGTACGTGTTAGCCCAATCAACTATATACAGTAGCATATTCTATGCGATGGCCTCATTCGAATGGTCGGCTGTGAAGTTCTTGTGGTACTTATTCTTCATGTACTTTTCGATTATGTACTTCACTTTCTACGGGATGATGACAACAGCTATCACCCCAAACCACAACGTTGCCTCCATTATAGCTGCCCCTTTCTACATGCTCTGGAACCTCTTCAGCGGTTTTATGATCCCTTACAAGGTAACTTAGCTTTTACTATTTGATCATTTGGAAAAATATCTAAATGTGACACATGAAAAAAAAAATACAAATACTAAGTATTTTACTTTTGTCTTTGGATTGATTTGGATAGAGGATACCATTATGGTGGAGATGGTACTATTGGGCAAACCCAGTGGCGTGGACACTGTACGGTTTATTGGTGTCTCAGTACGGTGATGATGAGAGAGAGGTGAAGCTATCGGACGGTGTTCATAAAGTCATGGTGAAACAGCTACTTGAGGAAGTGATGGGATACAAACATGACTTCCTTGGTGTCTCTGCTATTATGGTCGTTGCCTTTTGCGTCTTCTTCTCGGTCGTCTTTGCTTTCTCCATCAAAACCTTCAATTTCCAAAGAAGATGATTACCACTTTCTCATCAACCAACTCTTTTATTAATTAATCTATATACATATATATACCAAACCAGCTATTTAATTATTTGTATATTGGAGATTTTACACCCCCCAAAAAATGTTGGGTATTGCTGCATAACTTTCTTCCACTCTTACTTGTAAGGAATTTAAGGATCAATAAGAGCTTGTGTTGTGTATCATTTATCTCCTAATCATTTCTTTGCAATATCACTGTGCAGCAACTGATATTAAGGATCAATAAAATTGAACTTTAGAAAATCTTTAAGCACTTAGCAAACAAGTAACGGTATGACTTTACAAGTGATATTGCAGTTCATATATACACCTTACACAAACCAACACCACTCATCATCCTTACAAAAGTAACCGGATCAGCAAAAAAGCTCATAAAAAAAACAAAGAAAGTAAGCTTTGTCCCAAAAGATTGAACATTCATTCATACATCAGTTTCCAGCTTTCTTCACTTCGTTGTTCGTCCAGACTACATTCTCCAGAGAATTAGATAGCTTCTTGTAAAACTGCAAACACACACCATTTACCTCTGATTAGCTTATCAAACCAGTACTAAACTTATGATCACTCAATCTAAAACCAAGTTATGGAGTTTACCTTGTGGAATTCGAGAGTGTCCCCTTTTGATTTAGATACTTGAACCATATGAAGACTTGGTGCTACTTGGAATATCTGTTTCTCAAACCATAATTACACACTGAATCAGTAACTCTTAAGCCATCACCAAACTTTTTTTTTCACAAAAATTCCAAGTCTCAGATAACTAATATACACCTCTGTTGACACATTGAGATTCCCTTTTCTCCCAGCCTTCACATTCTCAAGCCTCATCTGATTTTTAAGTAAAATACCACAGATAAGTTAAATTATTGCTTTTTTTTTTCTTACCAGAGTTTTTCACTAACCTTGTAGTTCTTCTTTTGCACATCAAAACCGAGAGGCTTTGCAGCTTCTTCTATCTTGTCAATGATTTCGTTCGCACCTCCTCTCAGAGTTATCCTTGTTTCTCTCTTAAATTCCTGATTTGTTAAAAACAATTAACAAAAGTATTTTGTTCAACAGAATACAAATACAATACATGTCAGTTCTTTTATAGGAAGACAGACAAAAGTGTACAAACACACAAACCTGTTCTGGATCAAACAGGTTTTCCAAGTTAAGCCCCCTTGACATTGAGATGATCTCAAAGGCATTGATTGCAGCTGGCTGCTCTTCCTTTTTTTCGGTAACATGATGTTCCTGTAGAAGACCTCAGTCATATGATGTTATTCTTAAATACAAAATGAAAGAAAAAACAAAACTATTTTCAAACCTCGGAGTCCTTAAAAACAGCTTCAACATCGTCCATGTTTGAATCATCCTTCTCCTCAAACACTGGAGGCTTGTAATCTTTCTTGAACCATTCATCTTCAAAGACCTCTTGTGGTGTTACACGCTAACACACACAAAACCACAACAACTACTTTTAGAAACAAGAAGATGACTTTTATTTTTAACAAATGTAGTTAGTACTACTTACAGTCATGGGGTTGGGATCTAAGATTCGAGTGATCAGTTTCATGGCGCCAAGTGATAGCCATGGAGGACAGTTGAATTCACCAGATGAAATCTACAAAACACATAAGAAAAACCTGATTGATAACTAGGATGGCTTGAAAATAATCAAATCTAAAAAGGGAGAATTTTGTTGAGTTGTTGGCTCACTTTCTTATAAAGATTCATTAGATTAGAATCATCGAAAGGCAAGTAACCTGCAAGCAGGACATAGAGTATAACACCACATGACCACATGTCTGCTGTTGCTCCGTCATAGCCTCCATCATTAAGAACCTAAAAACCCCACAAAGATGAGAGATCTAGTAAGTCATATATATTATCAGATATTAACCAAAAAATGTTGTTGTTAAAGGCAGAACCTCAGGTGCAACATAGTTTGGAGTTCCACACGATGTATGAAGTAGTCCATCATCCTGATTTAAATAGAAATATGTTTAACAATAAACATTTTTGACAACAACAAAAAAAATGTAATCAAATACTATGGTCATTACCCTGACTTGCTGAGACAAAGCACTTAATCCAAAATCTGAGATCTTGAGGTTTCCATATGCATCCAATAGCAAATTTTCAGGCTGACATAACATATAGGAATAATAGTGAATCAACTGTTGTTTAAACATTAATGTGTGTGCATAAGTAAGTAACTTTTCTTCGAATGTATGTAACCTTGAGATCTCTATGGTAAACACCTCTGCTATGACAGTAGTCTACAGCATGCACAAGCTGCTGAAAATATCGACGAGCCTCATCTTCTTTCATCCGCCCGTCATTAACCTTAATTCACAATCAGGTTTTCAGTTTATAAATATGACACACCACAACCCATCAAATCACAATTTTTTTTTAAAAAAAGTGCTAAAACTTACAATCTTATCAAAGAGCTCTCCTCCTGTAACATACTCCAAGATGATAAATATCTTTGTCTTGCTTGCCATCACCTGCAAAAATCAGTGTAATCTTCAAGTATAAAGCTAGTAGTAGTACAATCTTGATATTATTAAAAAAAGGAGTGTTACCTCATACAATTGAACAACATTTGGATGCTTAATCAACTTCATAGTAGCTATCTCTCTTCTGATCTGTAAACAAAGAATCAATAATTAGAAATAAGTTACTGATCAAATAAAAAAGACAGAGAAGACAGAATAATAAAGACCTGTTCAGACATCTTATGCTTGAGGACTTTCTCTTTATCAAGAATCTTGAGAGCTACAGGTTCACCAGTTTCAGAGTTTCTTGCAAACTTGACTTTAGCAAAAGTTCCTTCCCCAATTGTTCTCCCCACTTCATACTTACCTACTCTACGCTTAACTTGCTGCTGCCTCCGATTCATTTTTCCAAATCACAGATTTAGAAAAAAAAGAAACTACTAATATTCCACCAAATGCTAAGAACCTCCAAAACAAAGATTACTCCAAATCAACACAAGCTTGGAATGAAGAAGCAAAACTGAAGCAGAAGAATCAAGAGAGGATTTGATGAGTGGAGAAGAAGCAAGACATAGAGACAGATATTATCACCATATATATATAATAATATTAATAAGACAGCTGCAATATATCTAAATTGTACCTTTATTTTTTTTTTAAAAGAAGAAGCTTAGTTTTTTCTCTTTTTTTTTATGGGATCAGCACAGAAGGAAAGATCTGAAAGCTGCAGAAGATTGAAATGGCCTTTGAGAGAGACGAAGAGGCAGAGGTTGTACACTATGATTAGGCTAACGATGATCATGAAGACCAAGATTTTCTTTTTCTTTTTATTATTATTATTATTTATTTTTTGAGGAAACTTACAGTTTTGCTAGATGGAGACATGGAGTTAAGGGACAAAGATCCTTACACAGTAGAAAGAATCAATTGCTGTTTTAAGTTTGTATAGTTTAACCACTAAACGACGCAAAAAAACCAAACCGATTCAAGATTTTGAGATGAACTCAAGTTGTATTTGTTTTCTCCTTTTCTGTCAATTCTTTATTTTTTAATGATAAATATCGTTTTCACTTGTATATATGCATGAACGTATGATTCATGAGGACAAACCGCATATTCCAATGAGTTTAACTAATTGCGGTGAATTTTGTTGTGAGTCTTGTGACAAAGCTTGACTCCCTTATCCCATCGAACACTAGTTAGTCTGGATCTCAGTGTCTTTGTAAAAATTATAGATCTTCCCAAACTTTTATATAACTTAAACACACATCAAGTTCATACTCGAAGTCAAATAAAATAGAAAATTATGTGGATGAAATTTGCATAAATATATCAATGAACATATGAACCTACTAAACATACTAAACATGCTAAAAAAAAATCTATCAATGAACATGAACCTACTAAACCTATATGATTTCGTACTTTTAGATTTGTTAAGATTTTTTAATCCATTAGCCCTCTCCTAACATGGTCTGTGTTGGGGGGGTAAATTCGGGAAACAATGGAAATTAGATACAGTCTGTTTTGGTTTAGTGGATGTGTGGTGTAGTTTAATAATTTTTGTTTAATATGGGTGCATATCTAACTAATTGTCCTTTGTTATAAATTATAAACCAATAATAACCAATATAATAAGGAACTGCAACAACAGTCCCTCGAGGGTTATTAGAAGTCGTAGAAGAAACTGTCGATACCAAATAATGATGAAAGAGTCGAAAGGTTCAAGAGAAATTGTAACAACTGCCCCTCGAGACAAACATTCAAAGTCTTACAACCAAACGATGCAATAAACAAAAAACTAATTTAACCCATTTTAGTCAGCATCCATCTCCTCGAGTGCAGTTTTAGCTGCCGTCTTTGCTTCTTCCAGAAGATCATCAGGGACCTACGATGAGACCCAATTTTAAGATAAAACTTTTTTGAATCATCAATAAGTAAACATTTTTTTTTAAGTACCTTCTGATGCTCTCGTTTTGATTCCTCACATATCCAGCTCATCTCCAATTCAAATGCCTTGTCTTTGGCTTCATCATGTAGCTTGTAAATGCTGCACATGAAACACAGTATTAGAGACCTTTCTATAAAATTAACCACCGAGGAAATGGTTGCATACAAATCATCAGTCTTAAAGAGAAACACAAGAGTTTACTATTGAAATCGAGTATAATTAAAAAAAGGAGCAAACACTGCTCACATTTTCGCCACTTCAATAACGCCTTCCTTGCATGTCATCTCAGATAATTTCAGTTTCTCAATTTCCCTGCAAAAGAAAAACTTGATCCATCAGAACAATTGTATGCAAAAATAACGCATTCCACAGATCAAAAATAGCCAAAAGCTATGCAATCCAGAAACATGTGTTGTAAAGTTCCAACTCCATTCATTAACCATAAAAGCTACACTAATCCTTCATGAATCAGAATCAGTATCTGGTAAACTATGAAGTTAGTTAGAATCTGCATCAACAACTACAGATACCATAGTAACTACACATACCCATAGCATAATAACCTAATCAAGTTCACAAAGTAGCTTACGTTTTAGCAGCTTGTTTTCCTTTACCAATCGCAGCACCGAAATATTTCTGCAGGATAAAAAATCCATAAAATAAATAAAAGCTTGAAGACAGAGATGATCTCTGTACAAAAAGAACATAGAAAAAGACTTACGTATGCTATGCCCGATGGCTCAATCATGTACAACTGGGGTCCATCCTTATCATAACCTCCAAGAATGACTCCACATCCAAAAGGCCTTCAAAAGTTTTAAAAATTAAATAAAGAAAAAATGGTCTTCTTATAATTCATTCAAGTGCTCAAGGATTGGACAAACCTGAGCCACCAATACAGAGTACATAAATGAACGTAGCTTGCAACACGCTCTGACAGTTCCTTCACTGGTACAGCGTCTCCATAAACACTAAAAAAAAATATCATCACATGAGAGTTAGTCGCACAATCAGGAAAGGATTGTGCACACACATATACATATATATAGAGATTTTCTACATTTTAACTATGAAAATCTCATCTTGCGATTAGTCATAAGAGAAAGAACGGTCCTTCTATAGTTATACTTGTAACATACAACATTAGCAGCAGAAGCTAGAAAAAAGATGAATGCTTTGAATAATAATAATAAGTAGTGAGTACCTCTCATAACTTCTGGCTTCAGATTTGGCCCTTGCAACAATTTGCCTGCCATCAGCTGCAAGCCCAGCAACAGCCTAACAACATAACAGTATGAGGAGTTGAATTTGACCGACAACATAATGAAAAGACAAGAACTGAAAATACAATATACCATGCCAGCATGACGATGAACAGAATGGATTCTCCGGTTGGATCCTGGTAACATCATCTTAGATGCAATAAGTTTCTCCACACCCTAATAACAAATTAACACTTAATTATTATTAGTAAAAGGCTAAAAACCCTTTTTTGTCAAAAATCTTATCAGATTTGATTTGATTCTCTAACCATAACAATCCCGTCCTTGCACTTGATTCCAACAACAGTTCTGAGAAAAGAATGGAGCTTTAGTTAGTTTCTGTCTCCAAAAGAAAGACACACAAAGGAAGGAAGAAATCGAGACTAACCCACTGTTGTCGACAGCTTTGGCGGCGTACTCGATCTGGAAAACACGGCCATCGGGAGAGAAGGTCGTGACTGAGAGATCGTATCCAGTTCCAATGCTACTCATCTTTTCGTTCGAGAGGATGTCGGAGGTTTTCTTTCTTCTCAAGCCAGAAACCGAAGCCGAAAACCTTTTTTTGTCTCCGCCGGATGATGGGTCGATTCAGTTCTTATCGGGCTTTTTTTTCAAGCCTTTTATTATTTAGGATTTTTAACATAAAACCCCCTCAACTAATTTTGTTTTGGGTAAAAAACCGTTAAACTAAGTATTTAATGAAAAAAAACCTCAAACTAACGTTATTTAGTAATTAAACCCTCACCGGTCATAATTACCAGTACTACCGGTAAATATTTAGTTTAGGGGTTTAACATTAAACATAAAAATTCAAAAAAAGAAAAAAAATCAAAATATAATAACATTATCTAAAAATTCGTAATTATAATTTTCAAAATTAGCGGTTTAAAAATTTATGTAAATATATGAATGATTTCTTATCCTTTTAAAATAGATTTTTAACTATAGAATATCTTAACTAAGTTTGTTTTGAATAAAAACCCTCAAACTAACAAGTAAACCCCCATATTAAACATAGTTGAGGGGTTTTATCATTAAAAATCTAAAAAAAAATTTATAACATTATCTAAAAATTAATAACTTAAATTTTTAAAATTAGCATTTTTCAAACTTTCTGTAAATATATGAGTTTGATTTGTTTTAACATCAATATTTAAATAGATTAAATTTTAAAACACCAAAATATAATAAAAAGATCTAAAGATTTATTATTACATTTTTATTAAATAAGTTATAATTTTTATTCTGTTTTCTTGTTTTTATAGTTATAAATTTTGATAATTTTTATTACAGGTAAATCGTTAGATAATTTTTCTTATATTTTCTTGGTTTTTACATTTTAAATTTATACATATATAATTTTGATTTTAAAATGATAACAAATCAGACTCATATAGTTACAATTTTTTTTAAAAAAAATGCTAGTTTTTTAAAATTAAAATTAAAAATTTTTAGATAATGTTATTATATTTTGAATTTTATTGATTTTGATGTTTAATGATAAAACCCATAAACTGGAGGTTTACCGGTAGTACTGGTAATTATGACTGGCGAGGGTTTAATTCACTAAATAAAGTTATTTTGGGGGATTTTTTCATTAATTACTTAGTTTAGGGGTTTTTACCCAAAACAAGCTTAGTTGAGGGGTTTTTATATTAAAAATCCTATTATTTATTCAACCGTGTTTTTAATGCGCAGAATTACGTGGTCAAAATTTTATGTGTTTTCCATGTTTTTAAGTTTAGTACATAATTTATTTTTACTTTTGTTTAGTACTTGATTACTGAAGTTTTTTATCTATACATTTTTTTAATTTGTATTATAATTTACATAATAATATTTTATTAAAAATATGATTTCTTAAGTCTGTATATTTCTGTAGAGATTTAAATAGGACAATCCTTTTTTATTAACTTTTCATTAGTTTTTTTTAAATTACTTTAATGATATAACATTGAAGTGAAATAGTTGAAAGGTAAATATCATACAAAATATCCTTGCAAATTAAACTATACTAATATTTAATTAAGCTCTATTTATAATACTTTATTTAAAAATGAAATACTCATCTAACAAACAATAAAATATAGAAGAAAAAACAAACACATGTTTGAAAAACATGTATATATAGAAAAACCATGTATTATATAATATTATTATGTTTGAAAAACATTTACTATACACATCGTAAATATGTGATTACTATAATATATAACAATTACAAGTGAAAACAAAATATTTATATAACTAACTATAAACGAAAACAAACATCCGCGCGGTTGCGCGGGTCAAAATCTAGTTTTAAGTATTATTAGTTAGACATATACATTACTGAATCTTTTATATAATATTCTATTTTTAAGTTTAAACAAACCATATTATCTTATAACCACTTATAATTTTTTTTCAAATAAATATTTTTGATTTTTTTAAAATATGATCTTTAACATTTACTTATATACATATAATCAATTTATTATGTATATAGCAAATTAATATAATATGCTCTTATAAAAGAAAGTGTTTATTTTCATTTAGTAGACAATTGTAGCAAATTAATACAATTGTTTTATATAAAAATGAAAAAAATATTTACTAGTAGTTTATTTAAACTATTTTTATATAATAAATTTTATTTAAAATAATAATGATTTCCTATTATTATATTTATTATCTCACAGTAGGTAATAATTATTCATGAATAGATTTTTTTAAAAATCATTATTCCTGAATACATTGTGATTAAATATTGACAAATTAGAGATTATGTAACAAACAAAACAAAATAATAAAGTTTAACAAAGAAAATAGGAAAATTCTATAAAATTCCCCAATTAAATTCTGTTAAACTTTTTAATACCCAAACTTTTTTCAACCCAATATAATACCCCAACTAATTACTTTACCTATTTTGTTACATAAATTTTTATAATTGTGTCAATTTTAATACTTATTTTTTTTTAATTAACATATTAATAAGTTTCAAACGAAATTTAAAAAAAAAAATTCAAATTTCAAATTTGACTTGAAGATTTAAGAAATAAAGTAAATAAACTCTGATGAAAATTTAAAAATTTTCAAAATTTAATCTTGAATGAAAAAAATTAATTTATTTTTCATTTAAGAAAATAAACTAAATTCAATATTTAAAACTTAAACAATTATTACAAAATTTCAGATTATAATAATTATTTACTTGTATTTCTCAAACACAAAATAAAGTTATAATTTTATTTAAAGTTTAGAGATTTTTATAATTTCCTTTGAAATTTATTATTACTTTTTTATTAAAATAAAAAAAAATTGAGTATTAAAATGAACAAAATAATTATTTAGGGATATTAAGTTTGGGTAGCAAAACAGAATTAGTTATTAAAAATTTTAATAAAATTTAGTTGAGGTATTTTTATGAAATTTTCCCACGAAAAAAAACTGTCGGCATACCATTTTTGACACAAACCATCATACATCGTTTGGTCCTTTTCTTTTGAATATAAAAAAAAAAAGCGAATATATACATCAATTGCATCGTAAGTAATAAAGAAAGGCCCACTGGAGAAAAGAAAGAATCAAAATTTGATGAGAATCGGATGCTTAAACTATTGTTATTGGCTTAATGGGCTTTTCTTTCCGCTCTTCTTCTGCTTTATAATTTCACAATTCCTCTTCTTTCATTCACACACCTAAACCCAACTTTGATCTCTCCACACACAAAAGAAAATGGCCGATCAGCTCACCGATGATCAGATCTCCGAGTTTAAGGAAGCTTTCAGCCTTTTCGACAAGGACGGAGATGGTTCAGATCTTTCTCCTTCTCCATCTATTTTGATTTAAAATTAATACAAATGATTTAATTTTATGTATTAGTAAAATTTAATATCTAAATTGAACCTATATTCAATTAATTTGTTATTTTAAAAATTTGATTCTGACATTAGGTTGCATCACAACAAAAGAGCTTGGTACAGTGATGAGGTCACTGGGACAGAACCCAACAGAAGCAGAGCTTCAAGACATGATCAACGAAGTTGACGCTGACGGAAACGGGACCATAGACTTCCCCGAGTTTCTAAACCTGATGGCTCGTAAGATGAAGGACACAGACTCCGAGGAAGAACTCAAAGAAGCTTTCAGGGTTTTCGACAAGGACCAGAACGGTTTCATCTCTGCTGCGGAGCTGAGACATGTGATGACCAATCTCGGGGAGAAGTTGACTGATGAAGAGGTCGATGAGATGATCAGAGAAGCTGATGTTGATGGAGATGGTCAGATCAATTATGAAGAGTTTGTCAAAGTTATGATGGCAAAGTGAGGATAAACATTTTTCTCAATCTCTCTCTCTCTTTTTTTTTTCTTTTAATCTGTCAAAAGAAAAGGTCTTTTTATGCTGCTTTGAACTATTCTGCTTTTATTTTTCTTTTCATATTTGACTGTTCATCATCATCTATCATACATTTGTTTCTTTCTTTCTTGTTTGTTCGTTTTTTCTCATGTTTTTTCCAATAATTTTATTTTTATGAAGTGAACTATTTGTTGACTCTGTTAAATTTTTGAAAAACATGAAAAAACAGTTTATTCTGTTAAATTACAAAAAAAAAAGGTACAGTTTGGATTTAAATCATTCAGTTTTAGAGTTAAAACATAATTTTTAAATTGTTAGAAGGATGGTATCAACTCAAATTCATATCCGTTTGTTTCATATAAATGGTTATTTTTAATAAGATAAATGGTTATAGAAACATGTTTGATTAATAGAACCTAAGAAATAGTATTCAAGAAATGTGAAAGAGGGTAAAAAGCAAAGTAGAAAGACAAAAAGTAATCCACTTATTCTGAGTTGGAAGTAAAAGAGGTTTAAATACTTTTTTTTAGTTGTAAAGTAAAGACAGATATGTTTATGAGAATAAAATCAATAATACGGATGGTAAGCAGCGAAATGGAGGTAAATGAAATGAGAAACTTCTTTATTGTACCTAACCATATCATTCTATTATTTTTCATTTAGTATTGTCGAATCTTACTTAGTTACTAATTATTCTTCTTTAAAATGTGCTTTAGGAAAAGACGTAAGAGGAGCATGGCGGCGAACCGTAGTAGCACGATTGAACGTAAAGAAGAGAGACGTCGCCGGAAAAGCCATTGCCGTATTCTCTGATCGCCTGGGATTTCAGTCTCCTCTCTTTATTTTGCTTTGTGTGTAAAAATAAGAGATTTGAACCTCAACCCAATTATAACATTCTAAATATAATCTATTGAATGAAAATTATATATTAACTTTTTTTTATCACACTCAGCATACACAAAAGCAAATTGCTAGTATTATTGTATTAATGATGTTATGAATGACGCGTTACTGGGTGGGAGGTAAAATAATGAGACAAGAATGTTATGAACGACACAGTTTTAGACCAATAGACTATATGCAATATCTGTAAGACTGTTACAAGACAATTTCGAATTTTCTTAACTGATGACTACCACTAAGTCACTAACTTTAAAATCTGGTGGTTAGGTCGAAGCATGAAGTAACGGTGACTTCTTACTTGGATATGAAGATAAGAATTAAGTTCAAAATTGTTTAAGCACAGTGTTAAAGTTCGGATATTTATTGCAGGCATGAGTAAATCCACTTTGCCCGAGGATTGACTCCAAGAATTCTTTGAGTCTTTAAATCAGTCTTCCCACTAATATTTGTCTAATACCTCTTTACATCAATCTTCCCTTTAATATCTGTCTAATACTACACATCTTTATATCAATCTTCCCTTTAATATTTGTCTAATACATCTTCTCCATCTTTATAATAGTCTTCCTTCTAATATTAGTCTAATGGGAAAATTGACAAAATAACTCTCAAACTCTCGAAAATAAGCCCAAAAAATCTTCAACTCACAAACAAGCCATTTTAATCTTCAACTTCTAGTCAAACACGAATAAATCTCATACTTTCGTTGACCAAGCCATTTTAATCTCGTCAAAATTCAGCCGTTTAGTTCCGTTAGTTATATTTAACGGTTGACTTTTAATGAGTCTAAAATAACTTGGTCAACGAAAGTATGAGACTTTTTTAACTTAATTTAAAAATTGAAGATTAAAATTGCTTACTTCAAAATATCTTGACTAAATTTTTTTTTTAACTGACAGAAAAAAATATAATTTTTCATATCGATTGTAATTACTAACTTAATAATATATGTTCAAATAAGTTTAGATATAATATTTAAAAATAAATTAAAAATAATAATATACATCAACTGCTGGAAATCCCTTTCACGCACTTGAGTTCCTCATTTTCACTTGTTTCATCCTCTATTGAGTATATGCGATTATACTTTTAACAATAATGTGTTTAGGGTTTTACCTTTAACTTTTATGTTTTTATTCCGAATTTTTTTTTTGAAAATAAGCATTTAATTATTTTATTTTATATCTGGATTTACAGTATAATTATATTTTTAATCAAATTTTTTTACTAAACAATTTTTTGTTTTTAATTCATTTAAAAATATTATAACTAAGCTTATTTGAACATATTTTATTAAGTTTGTCATTCTAATCGATATGATAAACTAAAAGTTTTTTTGAAAAAGATAAAACAAAAATAGAAATTTTTAGTTAAGATAAGTGTACAATTTAATCTTCAACTTTTAAATTAAAATATAAAAAATTTCATACTTTCGTTGACCAAGACATTTTAGGCTCATTAAAAGTCAACCGTTAAATATAACTAACGGAACTAAACGGTTGAATTTTGACGAGAATAAAATGGCTTAGTCAACGAAAGTATGAGATTTATTCATGTTTGACTAGAAATTGAAGATTAAAATGACATATTTATGAGTTGGGAATTTTTTTAGCTTATTTTCGAAAGTTAAAGATTATTTTGTCAATTTTCCCTTAGTCTAATACTACATCTAGTGTGCTTACGGCCACCGCCTCAGGCCCCGTTTAAACATTAAAACTTAGGGCTACATTCTTACAAAATTTACATTGATTGACTTATGTTTATTGATTTTTTTTATTGAAGTTTTTGTTAGAAATTCTTATATATTTTATACATGAGTTCCATAAATTATTGTCTACTTAATTTCAACATTTACAAAGACAAAATAGAGTTCTTAACTTTTTGTCAGCATTTTTATTTTCATTATATTTTTTCTACACTATAATTTTTACTTTTAGTATGTTTAAGTGTAATTCATATAGGTTTCAAATAAAAACCATAATAAGTTCATATGTATACATAGGTTTAATACTTCATAAATTTACAGCTCATTCTCATTAATATTTGTCTATTTATATCAGTCTTCTTTTTAATACTTTTATCTACATCTTTATATCAGTCTTCATTTTAATATTTGTCTAATAGTAATACCACATCTTCATATGGGTCCTCCCTTTAATATTTGTCTAATACATATTTGATTCTTTATACCTACATTATGATTATATTTATCCGAATTAAGAGCAGAGATACGCAATAAGTCATCCTAGATAAAAAGCCACTCAAGAGTTGATGGCAGCAAAGTACATTTCAAACCTAACAGGCAACAAAGACTGGCGGAAAGTCACAAAATACATACCATATGTCTACTGTTTTGGTTGCCTTAAAACACTTCATAAAACCGAGAGATCCTAAGGATAAAAGCCGATAATTAAGTACTTAGAGAAAAGTTTTGAAAAAGAGACTGCTGCACTGCACATTAGAGATCTGTGCTTATTCTACACCTAACAGAAGAACATGGAATTGGCGACGTTATCTTTGAGTTTAGGGAGCTGCGCAACAGAGATTGGTCCTGGAGCTGTTACGCCACCATGGCTTGAGGACGTCTCAGACTGATCTTCAAACTTCATGAACGTTCCTAGCTGAGCAGCTGCCAAGTGAGCATAGCAGATCGGTGCCACTGCAAAAGAAACAAAAAAATGTCTCGGTTATAAAACATACTAAAGCCGCGACTTCTTTCACTGTCAAACACAGTAAAGAATAAGGTGTTTACTTACCAACAGAAATGGCAGTCGTACTTCTTTGGTACCTGCCAAATAGAACAAAGAAATATATCTGATCAAATGTTATCAAGACAATAATAAAAGCCATCAAGCAAATAAAAAAGCTTGAGACAACTACATACACGTAAGAGAGCGAATGGACCAGTTCTTGGAGTTCATCAGGTGAGAAATGAATCTCATCATACAGGACATGGTAATGCGTCGGACGTGTTGTTCCCTGATTCAATTACACACACAGGTGCCTATCAAAAAAACGCTTAAAGAAACAAAAGAATAGCTTCTAAGAGTTGAGATGATACTTACAATCATTCCAGCGTGTGCGCAGAGATAGAAATCGTTGTTCTTTGGGTGACAGATTTTGTTGTCGATGATTGTCCCTGCATAAACAAAAACAATAAACACCACATGAGATCATGCACGTATGTATGTGTTAAAAAGGTTATAATAAAAAGATCAACCAAATTACCTGGAGGAACGTTGTCAGGAGAATTTGTCTGGAAGAACTTAGTGTGGTGATTCTTTTGAGCAACCAACAGGAGGAACTTTGGGTTCCAGTTTTCATCTAGAAGCTTGCAGGCCTGAAGGAAAAACAGAAGCAATAAAATTACTAACAAAATCGCAAAAGCAAAATACAATATAATTTCAGTTACCTCGATGATCTGATCGAGTTCGATGTTCAGAACCTGGTTGAACTGAGATTCGCTAACACCATCCCTATTTGCATTTAAACAATCAATATGAGAAAAACAAGAATGAAAAGAGGAAGAAGATCCAAAATTTGTGATGTAACAACAGCAATTTTACCTGAAGATTATGATATGCTCAGGCTTTCTCTTACCCGAGCTGGCGTAGAAATCAACCAGCAACTCCCTGCAATCAACAAAACGAAATTACATAAACATTTAAGAAAAAGAAGAGAGGAGAAAAAAGCACAGAGAGTCAAGTATAAATTACTTGATTATGCCATCATCTTCAGCACCATTTTTCTTGACCAGCGACTCAATCATCTCAGCTTTTGATGGCTGTGTTCGAACAGATGCTCTGTATTTCGAGATTAGAGGCCACTGCCTTGAACTGACCACCTACGTAAACCATGAACACGACAACTAAATATCAGTAACAAAGAGAACAATATTTAACAAGAGTAGAGATAATATATTACAGCAGCAATGGAAGGGACATCAGACTGTCCAGGAGATCCATGAGAAACATCCATCCCAAGGATGATGGTCGGAACCTTAGAAATGACAGTAAACGCAGGAGTGCGCTCAACGCTTAGCATGGAGTTAAGACCTCCCAGCTGTAGAGAGTATATGCATCAGAGATTGTACACAAGAAGCAAAAGAACGATTGGTACAAACAAGAAAGACAGATATCAATCACCTTTGCGTTGATCTTCAGAAGACAGTTGGTAAGATACTGATCATTAGGTTGCCTCACCGGAGCCATGCATTGAGTAACGATCCCGTATTCAGTTAAGTTTTTCTTCTTCCATGGCCCTGAGGAGAAGAAAATTCAAAGTTTAATGCAAGTGAACATTTAGCATCTTAAGGACTTTAAGTTGAGAGGAGATATCTAACCGTAAATGTCGCAGTTCTTCCTTTCGGGGAGAAGACACAGAATGAATTGTGGAGCACCTGGCAGTTTAGACTGGATTTCTTCAAACATCTTCTCTACACGAATAAGAGCAGGAGCACGGCGAAACTGATGACCTTCCTCAAACACATCAAAGGGTCCCGCAATTTCCTGTGACAGAAGAATTAAGATACAAATTTTGATTTTTCGACCACTTCAAGAACACAAAGAAAAAGAATCATGCTTACAATTCCTTTTGTTCCACCAATTCGGATTAGATCATCAACCAGTTGACGCACGTTACAGCGAGCGGAGAAATTTGCAACAGCCCATTTGTCAATCTTTGTTGGCTCAACAAATTGCTGCACAACAAAAGGGAATCAGAATATTTTACTATACATGATAGTAAATACAAAGAACAGCAAAAGAGACACATCACCTTGTTGTTGAAATTCCAACGACCATTTCGGGGAAACAGTTCATCTCCACGTCCCATTTTCAGCTGTCACAATAAAAAATAAAACAAGAGGAAATTAACTGTATGCCACAAGAGAATTTATCGAATCAAAACTAAGTAACTGTACCATACCTTAGGAGCAGGCAGAACACGACCCTCCACTTGAGTAAAGTTGGAGCTGATTGAAATGCCACATGAACGCAGGAGAGGTTCAGTGTCATAGTTGCTCACTTTCAGAGCCTGAAGACATTAAACCAAACGTATATATAAGCAGTTCTCTGACTAATAAAACATAACAACTATGAGAGAGTCAAGAAGACAATTTACTTTAGACAGAACATTCAT